CTCTTGTAATCCTTTGTAAGGTCCTCTAACGCCTTGTAACCCACTGTAAGCTCTTGTAATCCTTTGTAACCTTCTGTAGCCCCTTGTGACTCTCTGTAACCCCTTGTAACCCCCTGTAAGCTCTTGTAATCCCTTGTAACCCCCTGTAACCGCTTGTAACCCACTTTAAGCTCTTGTAATCCGTTGTAACCTTCTGTAACCCCTTGTAACTCCCTGTAACGTCTTGTAACCCCTTGTAACCTCTTGTAATTTCCTGTAACCTCCTGTAACCCTTTTTCACCCCCTGTAACCTCTTGTAAACCCTTGTAACGCCTTGTAAACCCTTGTAACCACTTGAAACCCCCTGTAACCTTCTGTAACGTCTTTGTAACCCCCTCTGACCTCTTGATACCCCTTGCAACCTCCTGTAATCTCTTAAAACTCCCTGTAACCTGTTGTAATCCCTTGTAACCTCATGTCACCCCTTGTTACTTCCTGTAACCTCTTGTAATCCCTTGTAACCTTGTGTGACCGCTTGTAACTCCCAGTAACCTCTTGTAATCCCTTGTAACCTTTTGTTACCCCTGTAACCCCCTGTAACCTCTTGCAATCTAGTGTTTCTTCAGGTAACCCGTCGTAACCCCCCTACACTCTTGCAACCCCTTTCAACCCAAGGAACCCATTGTAACCTCCTGTAACCCTCACTATCCTCTTGTAACCCCTTGTACCCACTGTCACCTCTTTAAATTCCCTGTAATCCATTGTAACCTCTTGTAACTCCCTGTAACCTCTTGTAACCTCCTTTAACCTTTTGTAACCCCCTGTAACCTCTTGTAACCCATTGTAACCCCTTTTAACCCCATGTAACCTTTTGTAACCCCTTGTAACCCCCTGAAACCCCTTGTAACCCCTTGTAATCCCTTGTAACCTCTTGTAACCCTTTTTAACCCCTTGTAATCCCTTGTAACCTCTTTTATCCCCTTGTAAACTGCTGTAACCTATTGTAATCCCTTTTAACCTCCTCTAACCCCTTTTAACCCTTATTAACCTCTTGTAATCCCTTGTAACCTTCTTTAACCTCTTGTAACCCCCTGTAACCTCTTGTAACCCCTTGTAACCTCCTGTAAGCTCTTAGAAGCCCTTGTAACCTCTTGTAATCCCTTGTAACCTTTTTGTAACCTCTTGTAACCCCCTGTAACCTCTTGTAATCCCTTTTAACCTTTTATAACCCCTTGTAACCCCCTGTAACCCCTTGTAACCCCCTGTAACCTCTTGTTATCCAGTGTTTCTTAATGTAACCCCTCGTAACCCGTCGTACCCCCCTAACCTCTTGGAACCCCTTGCAACCCAAGGAACCCCTTGTAACCTCCTGTAACCCTCTCTATCCTCTTGTAACCCCTTGTACCCACTGTCACCCCTTTAAATCTTTTGTAATCCCTTGTAACCACTTGTAACCCGATGTAACCTCTTTTAATCCCTTGTAACTTCCGGTAACCCCTTGTAACCTATTGTAACCCCTTGTAATCCCTTGTAACCTCTTGTAACCTCTTGTAATCTCTTGTAACCTCCTGTAACCCCTTGTAACCCCTTGTAACCTCTTGTAATCCCTTGTAACCTTCTGTAACTTTTTGTAACCCCCTGTAACGTCTTGTAACCCTTTGTAACCTTCTGTAACCTTTTAAAACCCCTGTAACCTCTTGTAATCCCTTGTAACCTCCTGTCACCCCTTGTAAGTTTCTGTAACCTCTTGTAATCCCTTGTAACCTTGTGTATTCCCTAGTAACCCGTTGTAACCTCTTGTAATCCCTTGCAAACTCGTGTAACGCCTTGTAACCCCCTGTAACCTCTTGTAATCCCTTGTAACGTCCTGTCACCCCTTGTAAGTTTCTGTAACCTTTTGCAATCCCTTGTAACCACGTGTAACCGCTAGTGACCCGTTGTCACCTCTTGTAATCCCTTGCAACCTCGTGTAACGCCTTGTAAGCCACTGTAAGCTCTTGTAATGCCTTTTAAGCTTCTGAAACCCCTTGTAACCCCCTGTAACCTCTTGTAATCCCTTGTAACCTCCTGTAACCGCTTCTGACCCCCTATAACCCATTTTAACTCCTTGTAAGCCCTTGTAATCCCTTGTAACTTATTGTAACCCCTTGTAACCTCCTGTAACCTCTTGTAATCCCTTGTAACCTTTTGTAACCTCTTGTAACCCCTTGTAACCTCTTGTAATCCCTTGTAACCTTTTGTAACTCCTTGTAACTCCTGTAACCCCTTGTAACCCACTGTAACCTCTTGTAATCTAGTGTTTCTTCATGTAACCACTTGTAACCCGTCGTAACCACCCTAACCTCTTGGAACCCCTTGCAACCCAAGGAACCCATTGTAAACTCCTGTAACCCTCTCTATCCTATTGTAACCTCTTGTACCCACTGTTACCCCATAATCCCTTGTAATCCAATGTAACCTCTGGTAACTTCTTGTAACCTCTTGTAAAATCATTTAACCTTTTGTAACTCCCTGTAACCTCTTGTAGCCCCTTGTAACCCCTTGTAACTCCTTGTAACCTTCTGTAACCCCTTGTAACCCCCTGTAACCTCTTGTAATCCCTTGTAACCTTTTCTAACCCCTTGTAACCCCTGTAACCCCCTGTAACCCCATGTAACCTTTGTTAATCTAGGGTTTCTTCAGGTAACCCCTTGTAACCCGTCGTAACTCCAATAACCTCTTGGAACCCCTTGCAACCCAAGGAACCCATTGTAACCTGCTGTAACCCTCTCTATCCTCTTGTAAACCCTTCTACTCACTGTCACCCCTTTAAATCCCCTGTAATCCATTTTAGCCTCTTGTAACTCCCGGTAACCTCTTGCAACCTCCTTTAAACTTTTGTAACCCCCTGTAACCTCTTGTAACTTCTTGTAACCCCTTGTAACCTCCTGTAACCTCTTGTAATCCCTTTTAACCTCCTCTAACCCCTTGTAACCCCATGTAACCTCTTGTAATCCCTTGTAACCTTCTGTAACCTCTTGTAACCCCCTTTAACCTCTTGTAACCCCTTATAACCTCCTGTAAGCTCTTAAAAGCCCCTGTAACCTCTTGTAATCCCTTGTAACCTTTTGCAACCTCTTGTAACCCCCTGTAACCTCTTTTAATCCCTTGTAACCTTTTGTAATTCGTTGTAACCCGCTTTAACCCCTTGTAGCCCCCGGTAACCTCTTGTTATCCAGTGTTTCTTCATGTAACCCCTTTTAACCCGTTGTAGCCCCCCTAACCACTTGCAAACCCAAGGAACCCCTTGTAACCTTCTGTAACCCTCTCTATCCTCTTGTAACCCCTTGAACCCACTGTCACCCCTTTAAATCCCTTGTAATCCCTTCTAACCTCTTGTAACCCCATGTAACCTCTTGTAATCAGTTGTAACCTCCGGTCACCCCTTGTAACTTCCTGTAACCTCTTGTAATCCCTTCTAACCTTGTGTAACGCCTTGTAACCCACTGTAAGCTCTTGTAATCCATTTTAACCTTCTGAAACCCTTCGTAACCCTACGTAACCTCTTGTAATCCCTTGTATCCTCCTGTAACCACTTGTAACCCCCTGTAATCTCCTGTAATCCCTTGTAACCTCCTGTAACCCCTGGTACCCTCATGTAAGCTGTTATAATCCATTGTAACCTCCTGTAACCCCTTGTAACGCCATGTAACCCCTTGTAACCTCTTGTAAGCTCTTGTAATCCCTTCTAACCTCCTGTAACCCCTTGTAACCGCCTGTAACCTCTTGTAATCCCTTGTAACCTTCTGTAACCTCTTGTAACCCCTTGTAACCTCCTGTAACCTCTTAAAACCCCCTGTAACCTCTTGTTATCCCTTGTAACCTTTTGTAACCCTTTGTAACGGCTTGTAACACCTTATAACTGCATGTAACTTCTCGTAATCAGTTGTAACCTCCGGTCACCCCTTGTAACTTCCTGTAACCTCTTGTAATCCCTTGTAACCTCTTGTAACCTCTTGTAACACCTTGTAATCCCTTGTAACCTCTTGTAACCTCTTGTAATCCCTTCTAACCTCCTGTAACCCCTTGTAACCGCCTGTAACCTCTTGTAATCCCTTGTAACCTTCTGTAACCTCTTGTAACCCCTTGTAACCTCCTGTAACCTCTTAAAACCCCCTGTAACCTCTTGTAATCCCTTGTAACCTTTTGTAACCCCTTGTAACGGCTTGTAACACCTAATAACTGCATGTAACTTCTCGTAATCAGTTGTAACCTCCGGTCACCCCTTGTAACTTCCTGTAACCTCTTGTAATCCCTTGTAACCTTGTGTAACCGCTTCTAACCCCCTGTAACCTCTTGTAATCCCTTCTAACCTCGTGTAACGGCTTGCAACCAACTGTAAGCTCTTTTAATTCCTTTTAACCTTCTGAAACCCTTTATAACCCCCCGTAACCTCTTGTAATCCAATGTATCCTCCTGTAACCACTTGTAACCCCCTGTAATCTCTTGCAATCGCTTGTAACCTCCTTTAACCCCTGGTAACCCCCTGTAAGCTCTTATAATCCCTTGTAACCCCCTGTAACTCCTTGTAACCCCTTGTCACCCCTTGTAACCCTTTGTAATCCCTTGTAACCTCTTGTTACCCCTTGTAACATCTTGTAATCCCTTGTAACCTCTTGCAACCGCTTGTAACATCCTGTAACCTCTTGTAATTCCTTTTAACCTCCTCTAACCTCTTGTAACCCCCTGTAACCTCTTGTAATCCCTTGTAACCTTTTGAAACCTCCTGTAACCCCCTGTAACCTCTTGTAACCTCTTGTAACCCCTTGTAACCCCTTGTAACCTCCTGTAACCTCTTGTAATTCCTTTTAACCTCCTCTAACCCCTTGTAACCCCCTGTAACCTCTTGTAATCCCTTGTAACCTTCTGTAACCTCTTGTAACCCCCTGTAACCTCTTGCAACCCCTTGTAACCTCCTTTAAGCCCTTAGAAGCCCCTGTAACCTCTTGTAATCCTTTGTAACCTTTTGTAACCTCTTGTAACCCCCTGTAACCTCTTGTAATTCCTTGTAACCTTTTGTAACCCCTTTTAACCCACTGTAACCCCTTGTAACCCCCGGTAACCTCTTGTTATCCAGTGTTTCTTCATGTAACCCCGTTTAACCCGTCGTAGCACCCCTAACCTCTTGGAACCCCTTGAAACCCAAGGAACCCCTTCTAACTTCCTGTAACCCTCTCTATCCTCTTGTAACCCCTTGTACCCACTGTCCCCCCTTTAAATCCCTTGTAATCCCTTGTAACCTCTTGTAACACCATGTAACCTCTTGTAATCAGCTGTAACCTCCGGTCACCCCTTGTAACTTCCTGTAACCTCTTGTAATCCCTTGTAACCTTGTGTAACCGCTTCTAACCCCCTGTAACCTCTTGTAATCCCTTCTAACCTCGTGTAACGGCTTGTAACCCACTGTAAGCTCTTGTAATCCCTTTTAACTTCTGAAACCCTTTGTAACCCACTGTAAGCTCTTGTAATCCCTTGTATCCTCCTGTAACCACTTGTAACCCCCTCTAATCTCTTGTAATCCCTTGTAACCTCCTGTAACCCCTTGTAACCCTCTTTAAACTCTTATAATCCCTTGTAACCTTCTGTAACCCCTTGTAACCTCCTGTAACCCCTTGTAACCCCTTGTAACCTCTTGTTTGTTGTAACATTTTGTAATCCTTGTAACCTCTTGCAACCTCCTTGTAACCCCTTGTAACATCCTGTAACCTCTTGTAACCCCTTGTAACCTCTTGTAATCCCTTGTAACCCCCTGTAACCTCTTGTAATCCCTTGTAACCTTTTTGTAACCTCCTGTAACCCCTTGTAATCCCTTGTAACCTCTTGTAACCCCTTGTAACCCCCTGTAACCTCTTGTAATCCCTTGTAACCTCCTGTAACCCCTTGTAACCCCCTGTAACCTCTTGTAATCCCTTGTAACCTTCTGTAACCTCTTGTAACCCCCTGTAACCCCTTGTAACCCCTTGTAACCTCTTTTAACCCTCCCCTGTAACCTCTTGTAAAACCCCTGTAACCTCTTGTAACCCCCCCTGTAACCTCTTGTAATTCCTTGTAACCTTTTGTAACCCCTTTTAACCCCCTGTAACCCCTTGTCACCCTCTTGTTAAAGTTTTTCTTCATGTAACCCCTTTAACCCGTGTAATCCCTTGTAACCTTTGAAACCCTTGTAAACCCCTTGTAACCCACCTGTAACCTCCTTTGTAACCCCTTGTAACCCACTTCCTTTAAATCCCTTTGTAATCCCTTAAAACCCATGTAACCTCTTGTAATCAGCTGTAACCTCCGGTCAACCTTGTAACTTCCTGTAACCTCTTGTAACCCTTGTAACCTTTAACCGCTTTCTAACCCCCTGTAACCTCTTGTAATCCCTTCTAACCTCGTGTAACGGCTTGTAACCAACTGTAAGCTCTTTTAATTCCTTTTAACCTTCTGAAACCCTTTATAACCCCCCGTAACCTCTTGTAATCCAATGTATCCTCCTGTAACCACTTGTAACCCCCTGTAATCTCTTGCAATCCCTTGTAACCCCCTGTAACTCCTTGTCACCCCTTGTCACCCCTTGTAATCCCTTGTAACCTCTTGTTACCCCTTGTAACATTTTGTAATACCTTGTAACCTCTTGTAAGCTCTTGTAATCCCTTGTAACCTCCTGTAACCCCTTGCAACCCCCTGTAGCCTCTTGTAATCCCTTGTAACCTTCTCTAACCTCTTTTAACTTCATGTAACCTCTTGTAATCTGTTGTAACTTCCTGTCACCCCTTGTAAGTTTCTGTAACCTCTTGTAATCCCTTGCAACCTCGTTTAACGCCTTGTAACCCACTGTAAGCTCTTGCAATCCCTTTTAACCTTGTGAAACCCCTTGTAACCCCCTGTAACCTCTTGTAATCCGTTGTAACCTCCTAACCCCTAACCCCTGTAACCCCTTGTAAACTTCTGTAACCCCTTGTAACCCCTTTGTAATCCCTTTGTAACCTCTTGTAACCCCTTTGTAATCCCCTGTAACCCCCCTTTGTAACCCCTGTAACCTCTCTTTTAATAACTTTTAACCCCCTTGTAACCCATTGTAATCCCTTGTAACCTCTTTTAACCCTTGTAACCTCCTGTAACCTATTGTAACCCCTTTTAACCTTTTCTAACCTCTTGTAACCCCTGTAACCTGTTGCAATCCCTTGTAACCTTCTGTAACCTCTTGTAACCCCCTGTACCCTCTTGTAACCCCTTGTAACCTCCTGTAAGCTTTTAGAACCCCCTGTAACCTCTTGTAATCCCTTGTAACCTTTTGTAAGCCCCTGTAACCCCTGTAAGCCCTTGTAACCCCTTTTAACCCCCTGTAACCTGTTGTAATACAGTGTTTCTTCATGTAACCCCTTGTAACCTGTCGTAACCCCGCTAACCTCTTGGAACCCCTCGCAACCCAAGGATCCCATTGTAACCTCCTGTAATCCTCTCTATCCTCTTGTAACCCCTTGTGCCCACTGTCACCCCTTTAAATCCCTTGTAATCCCTTGTAACTTCTTTTAATCCCCTGTAACCCCTTTTAACCTCCTTTAACCTTTTGAAACCCCCTGTAACCTCTTGTAATCCCTTTTAACCTCCTCTAACCCCTTTTAACCCCCTGTAACCCCTTGTAACCCCTTGTAACCTTCTGTAACCCCTTGTAACCCCTTGTAACCCCTTGTAGCCCCCTGTAACCCCTTGTAACCCCTTGTAATCCCTTGTAACATCCTGTAACCCCTTGTAACCTCTTGTAACCCCTTGTAACCTCTTGTAATCGCTTGTAACCTGTTGTAACCCCTTATAACCTCCTGTAACCTGTTGTAATCCCTTTTAACCTCCTGTAACCCCTTGTAACCCCCTGTAACCCCTTGTAATCCCTTGTAACCTCTTGTAACCCCTTGTAATCCCTTGTAACCTTTTGTAACCTCTTGTAACCTCCTGTAATCTCTTGTAATCCCTTGCAACCTTTTGTAACCCCTCGTAACCTCTTGTAACCCGCTGTAACCTCTTATAATCCAGTGTTTCTTCATGTAACCCTTTGCAACCCAAGGAACCCATTGTAACCTCTTGTAACCCTCTCTATCCTCTTGTAACCTTTTGCACCCACTGTCACCTTTTTAAATCCCTTGTAATCCCTTGTAACCTCTTGTAACCCCCTGTAACCTCTTGTAACCTCCTTTAACCTTTTGTAACCCCGTGTAACCTTCTGTAACCCCTTGTAACCCCCTGTAACCTCTTGTAAACCCCTCTAACCTCCTGAAATCCCTAGTAACTCCCTGAAACCTTTTGTAATCCTTTTTAATTTGCTGTAACTTCTTGTAACCCCATGTAACCTCTTGTAACCCCTTGTAACCCCCTGTAACCTCTTGTAATTTCTTGTAACCTTCTCTAACCGCTTCAAACCTCTTGTAACCCCCTGTAACCTCTTTGTATCCCTTGTTACTTCATGTAACCCCTTGTAAACCCCTGTAACCTGCTGTAACCTCTTGTAAGTCCTTGCCAGCACCTGTAACCTCTTGTAACCCTTTGTAACCTTTTGTAACACTTTATAACCACGTGTACCCTATTTGTAATCCCTTGTAACTTGCTGTAATCTTCTGTAACCCGCTGTAACCCCATGTAACCTCCTGAAATCCGTTGTAACCTTCTGTAACCTCTTTTAACCCCCTGTAACCTCTTGAAATCCATTGCAACCTCCTATAACCTCTTGAAACCCCGTGTAATACCTTGTAATTCTTGTAACCTCCTGTAACCTGATGCAACCCCCTGAAACCTCTTGTAATCCCTTGTAACCTCCTGTAACCCCTTTAAACCCCCTGTAACCTCTTATAACCCCTTGTACTCCGTTGTAACCTCTTGTAACCCCTTGTAACCTCCTGTAACCTCTTCTAACCCATTGTAACCCCCTGTAACCTTTTGTAATCCCTTGTAACCTTCTGTAACCTCTTGTAACCCCCTGTAACCTCTTGTAACCCCTTGTAACCTCCTGTAAGCTTTTAGAACCCCCTGTAACCTCTTGTAATCCCTTGTAACCTTTTGTAAGCCCCTGTAACCTCTGTTAATCCCTTGTAACCTTTTGTAAGCCCTTGTAACCCCTTTTAATCCCCTGTAACCTGTTGTAATACAGTGTTTCTTCATGTAACCCCTTGTAACCCGTCGTAACCCCCCTAACCTCTTGGAACCACTTGCAACCCAAGGATCCCATTATAACCTCCTGGAGGGGGACATTGGGGGGTACCCAATACCGCAATACCGTAAGGAAAAATGGCAAATACCGAAATACCGCGTCGAAAATCGTCTTAATACCGATACCGTATATTTTAATCACATTTATAATCGGTTGCGCATACTTATGGTTGCTTCCATCTAGCGCATTTAATTATTTCAGGCATTTATGCACCAGATGTCCATGTTTTTTTTAATATTTTGGTAGTTCGCAATTTTCCGCAAATTTTCACTGAAAAGTAAACTACATTCGTTCAGCCTTTTGGTATCTCGACCCAACAGCTCATTAACTCCAATAAAAATAACTCTTGAAAGCGCGAAGTGAGTCTAGTCTAGCACGTCAGTCCCTCAGGGGTCAGATCACACGCCGCGCCATCCTCGGAGACCCAGGGGCAGATAGTGGGGACGAGGGAAGGTCTGAACGGGCGGAAAAATATATAATAAATAATAATAATGTTTATTTCTTATATTGCGTAGTCTAGCATGCAATAAAGATATGATCGAATGCGCATTACAACACTAAAATCCTAAAGTAATAAATGGCTAATCCAAATAATGATAATGATAATAATAATTTACAATTTTCGGAAAACAATACAAAGTAAAATATGAGTTAATAAAAGAACTAATAAAAAGCTAATTTAAAAAGGTGAGTCTTTAGTAAAACTTTAAAAATGTTCAATGATTGATATTGTCTAATTTGTATATGGAACGAAGAAAAGTAAAGAACGGCGAGAAGAGCCCCTGGGGACAATGTCTTACCAGACCAGTTCCAAACGGTCGCCGCCGTTTTGGCTTCTGATTGGTGCCAGAAAAACACAAGTTTTCTGGCACCAATCAGAAGCCAGAACGGCGGCGACCGTTTGGAACTGGTCTGGTAAGACAATGGGCGCGATCCATTCAACCAAAATTTCCGGAAATTTCGGTCCAAAACTCGATGGATCAGTTCGGTCCAACCGGAAAAGTTTCGAAAAAACGGGTCCACCTTTTGAGGTGGTCCACTTTTCCCGGTCGGACCGGTTAAAATTTTGGGTGAATGGATCGCGCCCATTGTCCCAGGTAGGCATTTGTCGATTGTGCTAGTAAAAGTGGCATATTATGCTAGTGGCAGTGCTCGTTTTTTGCCCAAATTATGCTCAAATTATGCTCGCTTTTCAAAATTATGCTACTTTTTTAAAAAATTATTCTGTGCACAAACTTCACAACTCACAAGACAAGTTTGAAAATGTATTTTATTAACCCTGGCCAGACGTTCTAGGCCCGGTTGTTCAAAACCTGGGTAACTTTATCCGGTGGTTGGGCCTATACGGCGAATAAATCTGCTATCCAGCGGATAGTTATCCAGCGAACAAAAGTAGGTTGCACAAAGCCTGGATAGTGTGGTGGATAACTGCGTCTATCCCGGGCAAGTTGTGCAGGCTTTGGTCTATCCTCTCTGTTCTCGCAACCTTGTAAACTATCTGGATGTAAGTTCACTGCACTTGACTGGTTTGGCGTGGCGGCCGCCATTTTGAAACTAGCCTGTTCCAAGCGTTCAGATAGTGGAGAGCGGTGCGGAGTTAAGAAAGCGATAAAAAGTAGAGGGAGACTGGCGAGAGAGGTGCGGGAACGCTTGTAAGAATTTTTAACAAAAGTGCGTTCCGGTATACCAGATCCTGGTATACCCTCTGATTGGTTGATTTTGACAGTTTTTGTCAACAGTGGAGCCTCTTCGATCACAGGAGAAATGCGATATGGCCGTTATGACAGCCTCTACGTGCCGTCACGCAGAATTCAAACTCGCAACAAACACAGCGCTGAGTGACTTTCCAAACGTGGAGGCTAAAAGCGAAGAGCAAAGAAACTGTTTAAAACACGTAGTCGGTAGGATAGATGTCTTAGCAATTTCTCACCGACTGGCTTTGGAAAAATTCTTATTTTCCAGCTTTTTCCTCCAATAAAGCGTGCGTTGGAATGGAGGCAGGATAGAATACCATTTACGATTGTTGTAGTACCTCCGTTGATTACCATCATGGAAGACCAAGTGGAATGTTTGAACAAAATCGGAGTAGCGGCGGCAATGATGGGAGGAGATATGGATGGAGCCGTTAAAAGTGGAAGCTGTGAAATTGTTTACTGAAGTGCTAAATCGTGGTTGCCTAATGAATGGACAAAAGGACTTCAAAAAGGAAAGCTTGGAAAGCAAGTTGCAGCTATCGCTATTGACGAGGTCCACTCAATCACTGAATAGTAAATTTTCCCTTCTATTGTTGTGCATTTTCATTGCTTGAGTTAACGATCTGTATTGAAACGGCTTTCTATCGAAATGAGCGATATTTGTTTGTCACTTGATTCATTATTTTTTGTCACGTACACGCTGAAATCATGTTTTAAAGCGGGAAATAAATTCATTATACATGAATACCTCTCCCGCCTTATATTGTCTGAAAGTCTTACATTGGGTTTTTAGTAAGATTACGTAAACATAATATTAATTTTTGATCTGACAAACTTCGATTTATTCGCAAGCAAAATAATAAATGCATCGATCGGGTTGTAACACCAGTCTTGATTGACAAGTGAAGACCACCTACAGCTGATGCGGTCTGACTGGGCGGAAGAGTCTATTTAAAACAAATCTAACAGGCGTTCCCTCTCTCACCTCTCCCCCTCCCTCGCTTTTATTTTTTCGCGCTCCTTTTTACTTCGCACCGCTCCCCACTATCTGAACGCCTGGAACAGGCTATTTTGAAACGAGCACTGGGAGAAAGACTAAGGAGTCTGGGACCGAGACACAGACTTCCGGTTCCGTTTCATCGAACTCCCGCGGTATCTCAACACAAGTAAAAAAAATCGAAAAATAGGAGTGGAAGCAACTGTTAATAGTAATCTATCGTTTTTAGTAGCTGAGATCTTCGTTTTCTTGAATTATTCTAAAATTGTGCTATTAAGACAAGAAAATATACGGATTATGCTAGCAGTGCTACTTTTGGAAAAAGGGCAAAAATTATGCTCAATTCCTCAGATTATGCCAAAAATTATGCTAGCACAATCGGCAAGAGCCTAGTCCCAGGGGCTCTTCTCTCTCCGTTCTTTACTTTTCTTTGTTCGATATATATTTTTCCTCCCGTTTAGACTTTCCCTCGCCCCTTTATCTGCCCCTGGGTCTCCGAGGATGACGCCGCGCTGTTAAGAGGCAAACTTTCCAAATTTTCGCTTTTAACTTTACAAGGCGTTTTTCAATTCTCGAAACCCAACATCTAAACTTATTCTTGTTGCGATAATGTTCGCCTCCTTCGCCCTCTTCATACAAAATTGCCACACAGTCAATGATGACCACGCCGTCTTCAACCTCAGCGACCTCAGACATTGTGAGAAAACGTTTAAGACCTCGAATTACCGGCACAGGTACACAGATCGACAAGCCTGGTAAGGTAACTTGAGACGACTCATTATCATTGGATGCAACAACAATCACATTGTATATTATCGACCATTAACTGTCACAAAATGACCCACAAATGGTGTAATCATTTACCGTTATGTCTCAAGACTTCAAAATATTAACTTTTATTGACCATTATATCTTACTGTGTTTTGTTTTGCGTATTGTATCGAAAGGAAAGCGCAAATGAACGGTACCGTAATACCGTGAACAATCTTATTTCACAGAATACCGTCAGCCAAAATGATGAAAAACCGCATACCGCAGAGCTAGATGATACCGCAATACCGCACGTTAAAATTAAAATTACCAAAATACCGCATGAAAAAAAGCCAAATACCGAAATACCGTAAACCCCCATGTCCCCCTCCTCCTGTAACCCTCTCTATCCTCTTGTAACCCCTTGTACCCACTGTCACCTTTTTAAATCCCTTGTAATCCATTGTAACTTCTTGTAACCCCCTGTAACCCCTTTTAACCTCCTTTAACCTTTTGTAACCCCCTGTAACCTCTTGTAACCCCTTGTAACCCACTGTATCCCCTTCTATCCCCTTGTAACCTTCTGTAACCCCTTGTAACCCCCTGTAACCCCTTGTAACCCCCTGTAATCTCTTGTAACCTCTTGTAAACCCTTGCAATCGCTTGTAACCTGTTGTAACCCCTTGTAACCTCCTGTAACCTGTTGTAATCCCTTTTGACCTCCTGTAACCCCTTGTAACCCCCTGTAACACCTTGTAACCTTCTGTAACCCCTTGTAACGGCTTGTAATCCCTTGTAACCTCTTGTAACCCCTTGTAAACTCTTGTAATCCCTTGTAACCTTTTGTAACCTCTTGTAACCTTCTGTAACCTCTTGTAATCCCTTCTAACCTTTTGTAACCCCTTGTAACCCCTTTTTACCCCATGTAACCTCTTATAATCCAGTGTTTCTTCATGTAACCCCTTGTAACCTGTCGTAAGCCCCCTAACCTCTTGGAACCCCTTGCAACCCAAGGAACCCATTGTAACCTCCTGTAACCCTCTCTATCCTCTTGTAACCTTTTGTGACCACTGTCACCCCTTTAAATCCCTTGTAATCCTTTGTAACCTCTTGTAACCCCCTGTAACCTCTTGTAACCTCTTTTAACCTTTTGTAACCCCGTGTAACCTCCTGTAACCCCTTGTAACCCCCTGTAACCTCTTGTAAACCCCTCTAACCTCCTGAAATCCCTGGTA